TAATTTTATAGCTAATTTGATTGTTTAATTTATTTTAATAATGTAAAATTAAAGAAAATGATGGAGGATATATAAACTGTTATCAAATATTTATTATTAGAATCATTAAGTGTCATATATATATATATATATATATATATATATATATATATATATATATATATTAGTCATTTATGGTAATTCCGTACGTTTTATTTATGGAAAGAAAATAAAATAGTAATTATATCTAGGGGATCAATCATTAAATGTCATATATATATATTAGTCATTTATGGTAATTCCGTAGATTTTATTTATGGAAAGAAAATAATGTAAACTCGATTTGATGCGTGGGATATATATTAATGTAAACTTGGTTACATGCGTTACATGCGTCTGTAATTATTGTTTCCCTAGCAAATTTCAGAACCTAAAACTGCCACGTCAGTTTAATTGGTATGCTAATTGATTGACAACTAAGCAAGGTTACTTTTTAATTATTACAAATTTGAGGTTACATCTTTTCAAATGTTTCTCAATTAATATATAGGGGATTTATATCTAATAATACCCATGACGCCTGTCTCAATCACGAATGAAAGACATATTTTATGGAATGTACACTTACAATAGTGTTTTAAAATAAAGCCGTTTAGTTTAGTAAGACTTTCGCTTTGAAAAGTGTGTTTGGAATTTTGTGTTGGTAGATGATATTTTGCTAAGAAAAAGTCTGGTTTAAAACAAAGCTGAGCATGATTTATGCTTCATGGGAGTTCAACAATACCTTGAAAAAAAGTTAAAGAGCAGGTGCCTAGTTGAAAAAAGAAACAGGTGCCTAGTTCATGACTGATAAACTTTATTCAGAAACATTCATGTTAGAATTGTTGAGTTTGACGGCTACCCGGAAATATCCGATCCACCCAAATGAGGTTTAATGGGCCTATATTGGGTCATCTTTGGGATGTCAAATAGGTTGTTCTGTCTCATCCCGTCCCGAAGTGCAGTAGAATTTTCTTTAAGTGGATCACATCGTTCAAATCTGTGCGTACTGCGGTCTCTGAAATGTCTACCCAAACCCATCTCACTATATGTACAAGCCTTTGCGAGTCAGCCTGTGGGACATTGATAATACACACAACGGAACGATTCATGCCACTCCAAAATGCTTCAGGCCACTCTAAAATATAATTTCAAGTCATCGATTTAACTGAACATAATTCATCAGTCATTCTTTGCTTATTTTTTATTCAAAACAATAACTGTAATTATTTGTATCACATCTAAAACATATTAACATACAAGTAAAGATAATTACAGAAGATATTTTTCATTATCTTATAAATCATAAGTTCATAACCAATGTTTTAATTGCTAAATCCAAAAATTAAAGAAAATCAAACACCAAATCAAAAGTGTCAATCCTAAATTAAATAAAAAGATAAACCAAATCAAAACACTACTTAAGCTAGAATCGTAATCGCCGGAGCTGTAGTCGTTATCAACAGAGCTCGAATCATTATCACCGAAGCTCGAATCTTCATCATCGCCCGAGCTCCTTACGTTTCTCAGGAGAAGTCACATGAATCGTCTTCTTCTCACTATTTCTCTCATTTTTAGGTAAAACAAAAAAATAAAGAAAAAAATGTGGGTTCTTGTAATCCCGCGGGAACCATTTAGGCCCATCCTGAAAAAGACCCAGTCCCACAAAGACCTGTCCCGTGAAGCTCACAAATTTTGAGCTCAGATAACCTCGTCCCAATACCATCCCACGACAGTTCTTTACGGACTAAGATCACGGTCCAGATCGATGATTGCCATCTCTATATAAAACCCTTGACGGGCATTTCCAAGTTTTGAATATGCCTTTATGATATAACTGTATATTCAAATCAAAATAATATATAAACTCTAACGGAATAATTAAGATATTCACTCACTTGAACTTGATGACAAAAAAAATGCGAACACTTGCATCAAGTAATCGCTGCGTAACCACCAGATCACTCTCTTCCTCTCCTTCAAACGGTTGAATCTGTTCAGATTCCAAACCTCATTTCACCGGCTACGACGCGAAGCTCTCTACTCAGAAACAATTAAGCAGCTTCACAAGCAAACAAGCTTAAAGCGCGCCAATGACAACGCCACAATCCCAACAAGCCAATCATCTCCATACTCACCAAAACCCTCAAAACATCCCACCAAATCTCTCTCCAGATCACTCCACTACCTCTTCCGCGAACAAAGACTCCTCTTCATCCTCATCGGCATCTTAATCGGATCGACCTTCTTCATCTTCCAATCTTCCCTCTCTCATCTTTCCCCCGCTGCCGCCGACGACTCCACCTCCCTCATCGCCACATCCGTCTCCACCAAAACCAGACGCGTCCCATCGGTATTGGACCCCCGCGGAGGATGAGGATCGTGGTGACAGGTGGAGATGGATTCGTTGGGAGTCATCTTGTGAATAAGCTTATGGAGGGGAGATGAGGTGATCATGATTGATAATTTCTTCACGGGGAGGAAGGAGAATTTGGTTCATTTGTTTTCGAATCCAAGGTTTGAGTGTATTGCGACACGACATCGTTGAGCTGATTCTACTTGAGGGTGATCAGATTTACCATTTGACTTGTCCTGCTTCGCCTGTTCCTTATAATTTTAATCTAGTCAAAACTATCATATCCTTTTTTTGATTACTTTCTATATATATACTTGATTTAATCAATGTAATGCTGCTGTTAGGGATCTTGATCTGGTTCTTAAATGCTAGTGCTCATCAGGACACAATAAGATTTTAGAGACTGTAGGGTAATTAGGGAAATTTTACTAATAAATTTGGGAGTTTATAGATTATATTCCAAATGGTGACTGTGAATAGTAACAAAAAACTCTTCATATACCTATGTATCTATATGTTTTTGTTACTATTTGAAACACACCGCACTTGACGTGAATGTTTCGCGTGGCTAAGCTCGGCCATGGTGCTCATTTCCAACCAGCCGTTTCAATTTAGGTTTAAGTTTCTATTGTAAAACACCGCAAATTAAACTTGGAAGAATATTTTAAAAAAAAAAAAATTAACAATTTTTTTTAACTCGATTGAGACGAATACTTAAAAAAAAAATTAACAATTTTTTTTTTTTAAACTCGATTGAGGCAAATATTTGTTTTAGTGTTTGTTACCGTGTGAGTGAATCATTAACAACTTCAAAAACTTGTATTTATATCATTTACGATTTTCATTTTTTTTGTTTTGTTTAGGAAACAAATGTGACATTTTACTGGTTCATGGAGATTTAAGTCAGTATAGTATTTTTTTTATTTTGATGAATCTGTTGCGTTTGTTATGATCCGTAACGGTTGTTTTACAAGACAAATGTGATGGGAACTCTCAATATGTTGGGTCTTGCAAAGAGAGTTGGAGCAAGGTTTCTGCTCACGAGCACAAGTGAAGTCTATGGAGATCCTCTTGAACATCCACAGAAGGAGATGTATTGGGGGCAATGTGAACCCAATTGGTGAGTTGGAAGATTCTGTTACTTGCAGATATATGAATAAAAGAGAGATTGATCACTGATTGCTGGTATCTTGTTAAAGGTGAGAGGAGTTGCTATGATGAAGGAAAGCGTACTGCTGAAACTCTAGCCATGGATTATCACCGAGGTGCAGGTGTGGAGGTAAATTATGTCAATGATCCCATTGATTGTATACTTGCAAGCTCTTATCACAAGTGATGGAGAAAGTTGTAAAGATTGCAACTCATACTCTTTAACAAATGGCCTTTTGTATCAGTTTGTGTCCATATCATCCCTATGCTGTTTATCAAGATTTGTTACATTTTATGATTCAGTTTCTTACTTTAGTTGATAGGAATTTTGAATATCGGAATGTTTAGAGCTGATTAATGACTGTTGTATGAGCTCACATCATTGTTACATGAGTGATTACTTAACTAGTTTTTCAATTTTCAGGTTAGAATTGCTCGTATTTTCAACACCTATGGACCCCGAATGTGCGTCACAAAGATCTTCCTTCTTGGTGAATGATTCATATATGTATAGTCTCTTTTGCAAGAGCTCTCCTAAGTATTATTTTATTCTTGTTTCTTTGTTTTATTGTTTTTTTCACCAAGACACACATTACTACTACATATTAGGTGAAAAAGATTGTTGTCTTAGATGGATTTTGCTATGGGTTAGTTACTAGTACCCAGTGGGCTCAATTTTTGTGGAAGAACATAGTAATAATATTGCTTCTGTTCGTACATTGATTAGCATTTGGTACCCTTCGCATTGTATCTGTACACTGTACAGATATGCATTATTGGTACATGCTCTCTCGGTTTATACAAACATTAGGTTTTTGGAATATTTTAAAAAGACATCTGATGGACCCTTCTTGCGTAAATTATGACTCGGTTGTTTGTATGTTTGCGTTAGTTTTTATTTATATATCTTTCTGGATAAGTAGTTTTAGATAAATGTTTTTGTTTCAAAATATAAGTAGTTTTTAAATAGTTATGAAACTTTTACAATTATTGAATATAGTATATCCAATCAAATAATACTGACTTATTATGATTAGTTTAATTATGCTTAATAAAAATATCAAATGTTACTTTTAAAATAATAACAATTTTTCTTAATATTTGGGCATTCAACTAAAGTTACCTATATAAAAAAAACGGAGGGAATAGTAGTTTTTTAAAAAATTGTTAAAATCTTTCTAAGTTTTTTTCCTATTTTCAAAATACAATTAAGTTTTTGAATCAATCGAGACATTTATGTAATGTAGAAAAGAGTTGGCTGCAAATGGCAGTTGATTGAGCAACAAAGTTAGCTGTGAGCATTTCTTCTTTCCACTTTGGTTGTTCATTCGGTAGAGCAGTTCAGTCTGTTAGAACTTGACATATAAAGAAACAATCGCTTTTAGAAAATTACTATATCAATTCTCCTTTCTACTCTATAGTTAAATTTAAAACTTGTATTTAAAGCCTTTCCTTTATACCCTTTTCTCCATCTTCTCAATCGGTATCCAAGGAGGGAATAAATGTAATGTAGTACATAAATAGCTAAGCTTAATAGTGACATCTCAACTTCTAAAATGTGTTCTATGTGGACAACACAAGAGACCGTTTCTACCCAAAACTCTCTGTTTACACTCATGTGACACACTGACGCATTATCAATTACACTGTACACACATGTATTTGTAACGTATGTGTGAGATTGTTTGTATATATTAATGAGCTTTGTTTTTGCTAAAAGCTTTTATCCAAACTATGAAAGGCACTATGTTTTGTGCATCTCAAGCATCAACAGCTACGGCTAACCATGATGAACGGAGCATCAACCGTCACAACCCCATTATCAAAGATGGTAGAAGATCTTTCACGGCACCGTGCTCTTCCGGTGACGATTACATTGCACCGTACCGTCAACTTTCGAAAATTACGAAAATACCCTCCTCCCCTTCCTCCTCAGGTGATGGGAAGATGGTTCAGGTTGATAAGGGAAGGAAGAGTACTTCAAAGTCGTTGTTGAAGCTACTTAGTAGTGATAATGTTAGCCTAGCGAGGAAGAGTTTTGGCTGTGGTGATGTTACCAAAAGTACCCCACCTGGTTCTACAAGGTATCTTCTTGGAACCGACCCGGTTTCTTTATCCGGGTCTTCGGGTAAGGATATGGTTGTAGGGGAGGAAGGTGAACCTTCTGAGGCAAGAAGAGCAGTGGAAGAGAAAAAGAAGACTTCTTCTGGTTCAGACCAGCAGGCAAGTAATAAAGTAAAGTTGTCGTTTACCTTATAGTGAATGTAAATAAAGAGAGATTTGAGGGTTAGTTTTGTTTTTGTTTTGGAAAAAACAGGTGGTTGTTCTTAGAGTGTCTATCCACTGTCAGTGCAGAGGCTGTGAAGGCAAAGTGAAGAAACATCTATCTAGAATGCAAGGTCAATTATCTCTTCTTATCATGTTTGGCTTTTTCTTTATCAACATGATGTCCACACATATACATATCATTGTAAATGGGTTTTGGATAGGAGTGACATCCTTCAACATAGATTTTGCTTCAAAGAAGGTGACTGTGACTGGAGACATCACTCCCTTACAAGTATTGGGTTGCCTCTCAAAGGTCAAAAATGCTCAGTTCTGGACACCACCACCTCCATCATCTCTCCCAAGGGCAGATCCAGAGAACTAAAGAAACACCTTAGTGAATTTGTATTATCTTTCTCTTATGTGTTCTGAATCAAAGGTTAACAGAGACCTTTCACTGAGATGACGCTTAATGCTTTTTTTCAGGGACTCATGCATGTTTATTCACTACCTCATATGATAAAATTGTCATTACAATATTCCATTTAGTTCAGTTTTTGTTTAAACTATATATCTAAGATTGAGATAATATTTAACATTCTAGAAGATTGCATCTACTACAAGCTCTGCTAAGAGTTCATCTGTCAACATTTCCTCAATATCTCTACCTATGATTTCAATGTCATCTTCCAACCTCAGCCACTGCAACTCCGTCTCCTCCACATCATCTTTGCTTACTTTCTCTTTTTTTCTTGTCACCAAATCACGCAGAGTCTCTTGTATCTTGCTTGCATCCCATTTCTGGCACACCCTTTTTGGTTTAACCCAAGGGTGTGGATCAGAGAACTGCTTTAATATCTGTACAAGCTCTCTGCTGATCTGGTCAAAAAGAAACCTTCTTTCTAACCGGGTTGAGGTTTTCAAGCTTGAGTACTTCTTCTCAAGATCCTGAAACATGGATGGATCTACAGGTGTTTCCATGACAGTGTTGTGGTCTGAGTCACTTAACCTTGAGTTGGCTAGAAGGTCAACTAAGTATAATGACTTCCAGTCTTCTTCTCTGACCTCATGGCTGGTCAAAATCTCATCAGTTATTGTTGATGACTCCTGATCTGTGTCTTCATCACTTGGAACGAGCATGCTAGCTTCATGGTAAGCAGCTGACTCTAGTTTGAGGAGCTGGAGTTGCATCCTGAGTCCTGTAAGGTACAGATAACGGTTAACAAGTCAAAACATTTCTAATTTCAAATGGACAAACAAATCTGTAAACTAACAAGCATTGGTTGACTACCTTTGAGATCGGCGCTAACACTCTCAAAGCATTCAGAACTCGATGAAACATCATCGTCGAAAGAAGCTTCTAGAACTGAAGCAGGACTTGGTTGATCTTTTTCCTTTGAGTTTTCACGAGGCTGTGGTTCAGGAACCGAAGAATGATTTACAGTCTCAGTTGGCATCCTTGAGATATCCTAGAAACACCAGTAAACAATTAGATATGTGTCATAACTAACATGCATAGATCCATGATCTTAAAACATAATGCTCACTTACAGGATCAGTTAAAGAAGTGACAGTTGACAAATCTGGAGCTTCAGAAGACATAACCGTTTTAACATCATCAGAAGCTGAACTATCCTCAGTGTCTGAATTTGCATCTACTGAGAAACTGCAACTTGTTTTTGAAGGCGAGGGCTTCTCTTTTTGATAAAGGAATGTGGTTAAACTTGGACTGATGTTGACCTCTGGTGAGCTATTGTATGATGAACGAGATTTATTACTACCATTTCTAGAAAATTTGCTTGACAAGAAAGAGTGATGAGAAGAGCTCCCCATCACTAATCCATCTCGACTGATCAACTCCTTTGGAAGCACTATAGTGTAACCATGAGTGCTTTCTTGGTTCATGATGGTTTTGGATTTTGAATAACTTCTTGAGCGTGATCCTTTCCAACCATCTCTACTGCTAATTCCAACCGGTTCTGGCAGTTCAGACAAGTGAGCATTGCTCCCAACTCTTCTACCAATCCCCTCTTCAAAAATGAGTCCATTAAAACTTGCTGGCCTTGCTTCCTTATCTGAAGTTGCAAGCATCTCAGCTAATGTGCCGCTTCTACTAATTTCTATATCTTGTTCAGAGTTGTGTGTCAGCTTCCATCTCTCTGACAGTCTCCTCTTGGCTTCTCTACTCACAGATGATGATGTTGACTTGGAAGGCAAAAATCGATGGTAGTTCTTACGGTTAAAGGCGGTTCTTGTCCTTGAAGTTACTGGCACTAGCTCTGACTCACTTGCAGAATCACTCCCTGATGAGCTTTCATCCCCTGCATAACCTCTGAATCCTGAAGTCTCAAATCTCATGGCATCTCTACCATTACCACAGCTCGCCTTCCTTTGCCTAGACATTATTTTGGAAAATTCTCCGGAATCTCTTGAGTTCTGTCTTGAAAGGCGGATGTCTTCGTTACTTTTCTGCCTGCCATGGTTGCTAGTGCATGGAAGCCTACGATCTGCTCTGAACTCATCAGATGAAGAGCTTGGCGATGCAAAAGCTCTACCACCGAGTTTAGGTTTCAGAACAACAATCTTGGTCGGCTGTAACTCACTTCTCTTTCCCTGATCCACTTTTGGTAAGTCAAGTGTGTCATAAGAAGCATGCCTAGTATGAGAATGGCTAGAACAACCATCACCACCAACATGCCTATGAGGCGACCTCCGTAACAAGTCCCTATCAACTTTATGAGTTTTCAGACTCTCCACATGCCTCTGGCTGTTTGGACACTGCGCTTGTCCATAATGTGGCTTGTGAGGTGTGCTTTGAAGATCATGCATATGCTTTGTGAACAATGAATCAGGTCGCTGAAGAAACTTCAGTAGGAGATCTTTGTTAGAGTCTAACGCCTCAAGTGCATCATCAAACTCTTTAGAATGACGAAGCTTCTCATCAGTTGATAACCTCTTAGCTTCCATGAACTTCTGCCTTATAAAACCCATCTCCGCCTGGCTGAGATTAACAGCATTCACTCTTCCCTGATGATATAAGTCTCCGTTTCTCTCTGCCTTCTTTGCATCCAAAACTTCATAAACATCTTTAAACTTTTGCTCACCACCCTTTGAGCTCCTTCTAAGAGACTCACAACCATCATAAGAACTGGATCCTGCACCGCTCCTACCTTGCTGACTCTCCACAGACTTCTGTTGCCTATGAGAAGAACTCTTGGGAGGCAAGACATCAAGACCCATCAGTCTCGCTATAATGCTTGGTGACCTCCTTTTAGTTTCTTTCTGCTTTGACATTTCTTGCGCTAACAAACTTTTCATTGGCAACTACAATATGAGCAAGAAGTCACTTTCAGAACAACAACATTTTCCTCTAATAAATACTTATCTTAAATGAGTATAATCCATACCTTGTTTTGACTTAGAGCTTCACAATGGCAAGAATGAAACTCAGAAGATGATGATCTTGGAGACTTGAGTTTCTGACTCTGTTTCTTTCCTGCAAAAAAATAAATGAAGACACTAATGATGAGAAGAAGATGCCATTTTAGTGTTCATAATTGATAAAGCAATCGACTTTTACAACGGAAGAAACTAAAACATATAACAAAGGAAGGAGGAGGTTGAAGAGCAGTCATGATTACAAATGAAAACTAAAATCATCATAACCACTGTTGAAAAAAAATTGAAGTTTTAACAAACAAAACCAAATCATGACACTATCCAACAAACTTTTCCCTAAGATTCTTATTAATTTCTATATTTTTTTTTTTTAAAAAGGATTAATTTCTAGTTGGAGCTTTTACTTTATGAGAAAAGCAGCAAACAACAAACTCAATTCAATTTCTCTACTACACTTGACTTTAACTGTAGTTTTCCACAAGACAACAAAATTAGCTTGTCTTTTTTTGTTTTCTATCCCCCCCCCCCCCCCAGAATTATACAACTTTTTACATTATAAATAAATAATAATAATAATAAAGTTGTGAATTTTCAAGATTAAGACATAGAAAATTAGCAGTAGATGCTAATTAACATGTTTGGTTGGAGAAGCTTTACTAAAACATTTGTTTTTAAAATAAAATAATTTTAATTTGGTAGAATTGTAACCTTGGCGAGAACTGGGATCGGGGAATCGAAATATGTTCATCTTTTTTTTCACTCACTCGGAATCGGAGGGTTTATTCTCCGGGGAAGAAGACATTTCACGGCTTTGGAGGGGAGAATCTAGATCGGGTTGTTGAAACAGAGTAAGATTCTTTAGGAATGCTGAAAGATCGTAAAAATCTTAAGAAGAAATTCAAACGTTGAGCGAAAGAGAGAGTGAGGAGGAGGAGGAGGAAAGGAGACGGCGGAGAGAAGAGGGGGTTTCTCGGAGTTATTTGAAAGTTCAAAAACGTATTAATAAAACGGTGAAAAACAAATAATATTATTCTTTTTTGAGAAAAAGGAGATGGTGATTGGTGAGTGCCACTTGTCTATCCTCTTCCATTTTTGGTTTTTCTGTTTTGACACTTTTTACCTCTCTATTTTTTTTTTTTTTTAATACTACAAATTGGTGATTAATTTAGTGATAGGACTTATTTGTCAAATAACGAAAACAAAAAAATAGATTTTGAGAGAAATTAGAGAGAGATAATAAAAATAGAAGAGAGGTGTTTTTGGTTAGCTAGTGAATTTAGTTTTTTTTTTGTGTATATAGGAGTAGATTTCTCCTTGATAAAATTATTATCAAAAATCAAGTTTGGTGTTCTACTTTGGTTAGAGGAAAAGTTATCTTCTGAAATATATAATAGTTTGGTGAATGGGTTTATAATAATTTTTAAAATGTTGTTGATTCCCAAACTTTGTTTGCGTATGTACATTGTAAGTTTGTTGTCAACTTTATGAAAAAAAAAAAAAGAAGCGTACGAAAAAGTATATACAAGAAGAAAGATTAATTGGTTTAAGAAAGTAATTTTGACCAAAAAAAAAGGTTTAAGAAAGTTTGGATTAGTAATTTTTATGCTTATGTTTTTGGTTTTTTGGTTGAGCAAGCAAGAGTATCATCATAATTACTACTAGTACTAGGTGATTTTTCCGTGCTCATGCACGGGTATAAATATTTTAAAATTAAATATATAATAATAATTGATTATTATTTACTTTTAATTTTAAATTAATTTATAATTGTATGCATCATTTATATTAATAGTATTATATTACTTTACTTATACTGTAATTTTATATATGTTATATCTAGTCAATTTTTGTTTTACGGTTGGTTTAGTTATCATTTGGATAAATTGGATTGCATCTCTGAATTCAACTTTAATATCTTTAAAATATATTAATTTTTAGTTAGTTACTTATTTGCATATGGTGGGTGTTGTCTTAGATATGTATATATATTTTAGGAAAATTATTTATAACTTAAGATATATTGTGCTTAGAATGAATTAAAAATTAATTAAAGTGTCTGATTCCAAAATACGTAAATTAATATAACGAAAATATTCTAAAGTCTCATGGATATATATAAATTTTACAAAATAACTAAAATTGTAAGAGTTGGTTAGTATTTATTTTTATTTGTTAATATGTTTTGAGTTATCATATGATCAATATAAGGTTACATGCATTTATAAATTCTAAATAACTTTATGCTTTAGATTTATTGAATGTAAACTGAAATTTATTTTAAATAATCTTAAATTGAGAATCCAAATTTGCTTTGATATTTTGATTATGGTTATATTTAGTTTCACAAATATAAAACATAAAATTTAAAACAATTAATATTAATAAAATAAATAATTTTAATAATGATAAAATATCATATATCTAGCTCATTAGAACAATTATTTTGACCAAACTATGTTTATTGTTAAATTTATTTTTAGTTTTTAATATCTCTTAAAAATAAGCACTACACAAAATTATGATTGTATTTGAAAATAATATTATATAAGCAAAATATAAGTTCTAGATAATTTTCTGTAATTGAAAGATATTATAGTCAACTAAATAGATGAAAAATAAATAAAAATTCAATAATACTAATTATAAACTATTTTATTACTCTAAAAGTATATTTTATGTTATTTAAAAATATTTTTAAATGTATTATTACTATTTTGTGAACTTTCCTTTTTTATGAAATTATATTATATATACATATTTTTATGTTATTTAAAAATATTTTTAAATGTATTATTACTATTTTGTCAAATTTCCTTTTTTATGAAATCATATTATATATACATATATTTTCGTTTTAAATTTGTTTTTTATGACTTTATAAAAAATGCCTTTTTATTACATATATTTTTGGAAATTTTTGAAAAGGAAAAACTAAAAATAAAAGAATTAATAATACTATTTTCCACTATTTTTAATTCATTAAGTGTATCAATGTAATCAACCATCGTGAGAATGAATGTGAGAGCGACACATAGAAAACTGACTTCTCAAATAATATTATAGAGATTCTACAATATATCTACTAAAGTTTGGATTAGTAATTTTTATGCTTATGTTTTTGGTTTTTTAGCTAAACTCTACATGCATTTAGAGTGGAATGATGAAACAGTAATACAATTTACTGCGTCTCTGGTCTTTAATGGTTAATATCTTTTCTTTTTTTTGGATCATATCAATCTGATTTTCCAACTTACGTAATTCGGTTAAAGCTCAAATGAGAATTATATTCCTGCTTTAATCAAGGATATATTATTATAGTATTAATGTTTATACTAACTCTAACCGAAGTCATATGTATCTAGAAGTCTTTCTCTAACAGATTAGGTTAGGCAGAGTTGAAATATGTTCAACTAAATGATCCTTTATCTTCTTACGCCTATGCTCAGAAAATTTTAAAATATGCAATTGTCAAATGACACGTAATAATTTTGTAAACTCTAATAGGAATTAGTTCTTGAGCTCATCAAATATGAGTACTAGCTATAAAACGACATAAATTCTTACAGCCTTCGCTTTCAAGGTAATTAATCCGACACATCTCTCAAAATAGGTATAATGACTATGAACGTTCCCCCCAAAACAAACCATTAACCGTTACTTACTTCGCATTAAATGTACGGTTAGATTATGGATTAAGCTACTACTTGTAGTATTGTATTGTGATGTTGCATCTGATGGTTTAAATGCAAAATGTTTTGTTACTAGTGACAACTATGCCTGCATTTACTATTGAAGAACTAGCAGAGTCCGTATACTCTTTATCTTGAGAAAAATCTAAACTTGTATGCACTTCTATATAAAAAGAAGAAATATTTTTTCATATATCTCACTTTAGTTATGTTGTTTGTAGACGTTGATGTATCCATTACACCTACGCTTAGCCTAAGGCGGTATACGCAATTTAATGATGTATCTCTGAAATTTTAGTTATAGTAAGCATTTTAACAAATTTTAATATTTTTCATAAATTTAATTAGGGACTTTTTGACTTTTTCTATGTAAATTATTTTAAATAGTTTGGAGGCCATATACCGATGTTTTAGTTGCCTATTGCAAAGACCGTTCATGCACCTAGCCAAAACACAAAAGCATTACAGATTTATGGTGGCTGAAAACATTTAAAATTTAAGGGTTCTCTTTTTTTGGAATTGCAAAAAAACAGTACATTTTTCTTGAAATTTTTCAAAACAGACTTTTGGGGACAACACTAAACGTTTTCCAACTGTTCTATAATGTGACACAGAACAGCATTAAATTAGGAAATTTTCCAATGCCACAAGAAAGGATGCGTGTGTTCTCAAATTTCGAAGAATTGCTATTTTGTTTTATAAACAGAAAATAATATGCCATCTCTAAGTTATATATAAGGTCGACGACTAGCAGCTTAGGATCCAATATATATTAATCCACTTCGATTAACAGCTTCTATTTGAAAATAAATGAATGGACTTTACAAAAACTAATGTGTAGTAGTTCCATGGAAAAGCTAAGACTCTTGTTCGTATCAATAAATAACCATCTAAACATGTCAGTTGTAATATTTAATCATGATTTATGAAAAAGTTTCAGGCGTAGAAAGTACAAAGAGACAAACAAACAAGAAAGTAAAGCAGATTCCTTGTTGACAAAAAAAAAAGCAGATTCCTTGCCTATGTGCTATATAGATCAGTCATCGTATAACATTTTAGAATGATTATGCGTTCGATCATAATAAATTATGAATATAATTCAGATATTGTACATTGTATAAGAAAACAAAACTGAATCATAGAACTCGATATATGTTTGCTGTAATTGAACTCTATAATACCTGCAAAACAAAATAAAAAGGAACAAACGAAATAATTATACGAAAACAATAGCGATGAGATATTAAGGAATTTGCGTTTTGTTGAGAATCACATAAAATGTATATTATTTTCCAGTTACGTTTACTGTATATAGTAGTATTTTTATTTCTGTCTTGTCCATGCATGTTCACAAAATTTGTCTTTTGCTTATTAATGGCAAACGTCATCTCCACGGAAAAAAACAAGACAAACACAATCTATTTTTTTGACAACTCACAGTCTTGTTAGATTTTGTTGTGTGTAACTATTTTGAAAAAAGCTTTACACATATCAAGTT